GGACTGATGGTAAGCACCGGTACCGGTAGGATATAGAAACTGGTAGAATATCATAGAGGGAAGCACAATGGACCAATACAGGTCTAAGTGCAAGGGGAAACCCACCCTCTCCAATAACTAACTAACTAACTAAGTAACTAACTAACTAATGGTACTTACGCTTACACTTCGTCACGTTTCTTTAGTTGCTTGTTTAAAGGCAGTGTCAGTATCGATATTATAATGCGTCGATGATGACTATGAATGTGGAACAGCTGGTGGAAAGATAACTGGCAGGGGAAACCGAAGAGAAAGCCTACCCTACATGCCCTACATGCCCTACATGCAAAATACATGGTGGCTAAATTTGCACATCATAGAAATGATTCGAATTGGGAAACCTTGACAGAGCGCAGAAAGATGGCTCGCATATGTATTCTCTTCAAAGCGTACGCGGGAGAATGGGCTTGGAAGGCTATAGGCAATAGATTACAAAGACCATGCTATCTGAGCATGGTCGATCATGACAGGAAAATTAGAAGCAGAAAGCGAAAGACAGATATCGGAAAATATTCCTTTATACACAGAAACATCCAGCTCTGGAACCAACTACCTGCAGATGCTTTAGGGACTCTGTCTTGTAAATCAAGTAATTTTAGGTAAAGGGTTAGGAAAATAATAAATAATACGAAGTGAAGGTGTGGGAAAATAATCCAAAAATGCAGTGAAGTGAAGTGAAGTGAAGTGTGGTGAGGATGTGAAAAGTACGCAAGTGTAGTGAATGGAATGAAGGGAAGGCCATGGTGAAATGTGGAGGCATCAGAACATGACATTAGTTATACCATTACTGTTACTGTTTAGTGTAGAGCATACTTATTTTTTTATTAATATTAATTTATTTAACTGTAGTTGTAAGTGTTTATGTTGTAGTTTGTACATCGTATTTGCACTGTAATCATTTCGTGTAGTGTGTCCTTTATTTCTTGTGTAATTTTGTGTGCTGTGTTTCTTTTTGAGTGTGGTGTGTTATTTTGTGTGTCGTCTTACTGTAGTATCACTGCCACCGGGTTTAAGAAAGGTTTAAGAGGTTTAAGAAAGTCCATAACTTTCTATTTGAGCTGTATGTGAAGTAAACGTTACAGTGATAGAAATCAAAATTATACTAGCATCAATTTTTTTTAATCCGTTGAGTTTCTCTGGATTACGGATTGACACGATCTATACCTTCTACACATTCTGAACACGGTTATGAACCTTTGGGTTTCATGAAATGCTTGGGAACTTCTTGACTAGCTAAGCAACTACTAGATTCTCAAGAAAAATTCTGCTCCAGGGGAGTTAGTTAGTTAATTAACAATGAGGAACAGGAAGAAACGAAACGAAAACAGAAAAAAAAAACAAAAGAAATTGACGACAGAAATATAAATGAACGGTAGCATGACATGCAATACCAATCATGAGGCCGTCTCTCTGTCATCATGAAGTGTGAAATGAAGGTACAAATCATAGGGTTCTCGGAAAAGAAAACTGTCTCGTTAGTGTCGGTGCAACGCAAAACGAAGTAGACCTTACAGAGGCGTGTCCTGTTTCTTTACAAATTTACTAAATTCTTCTTACATAATGTAGGAAAAAACCATTGTGGTAGCAATAACTACGGACTTCTCACTCCATGTAATTAGCATCATTATATAGAAAATAATTAATTTTTGTCTTCTCGTACGTCGTTATAAATCATTCCTTTCTTCCATTCCGACAATAGTTACTCATATTTTTATTACCAACATTTTAATGCTGTGATTATTATTTAAACAGTACAGTTCAGTTCCAGAACAAGGTACTTGCATAATTTGTTGGAATTATTAAACGTTACTATTAATTATGTAGAAATATAAATGCGAAATTAAAGAATCTAATTTCATCAAACGGAAATAATGTCAGTAACTTGAAACATACTGGAAGGACAACCACAATTGTAATAAGATACTAAACTTGATAGAATAGGCGACGCATCAGCTCTAATCAATATGGATTCCGCTTGGAGTGCAACACGTCTGACATTTGATTTCAGTCATTCCACATGACCATCAGGCCGATAACAGTGGCCGTGCGGTCTAAGGCAAGAACTGTCTTCGCTCGCTCGAACTCTGGGATCGTGGGTTCAATTGCCACGCAAGGTATTGATGTCTGTGTTGAGTGCGTTTATTCTATAAGCCTGCCGATACTTTTTGGCCGGTGTCCTTCACTGTCAGCGCATGAGAGCGAGTCTATGCTACGAACTTGCTTCGTCTGCAGAGAGAACATTCGTAGGCTGGCACTGGCAACTGGCAACTGGAACGTGGGAAAAGCACATAGTATCTACTAATAACAGCGATCCTACGCGCTCAACGTCTACCTTCTTACTGAGGCAACTAAGTGTCACTGCGCAAGCCCACCAATCTTAGGCTCGCCGACATGCGTCAGACCACTACGCATCAGAGATCCACCGGCCAAAATCCGCCGTCCCAACTGTATGTCTGTGTCGTTCTGTGTGTAGGTAGAGGCCTTGCAACGGGCTGATCCCCCGTCCAAGGAGTCCTATCGACTGTGTATTTGATTAAGAAACTGAAAAAGCGGCCAAGGCCCAACAAAGGGCTGTAGAGATATAATAATATTGCGACATGTAGACGTGTTGACAAACACGTTTCCGTGGAAATTGATTCTTGGAAACCAACCCGTTATGGGATGACGTTTCCGTGGATACGGGTGATCAACAAACATTTTATTGAATACGAGATCGAGGATGTTTTCTCTGTCGGTCCGTCCTGACGTTAATAGAACAGGAGCCCGTCAAATCAGTTCAGAGCAGAATAGAGAGAGAGCAGAAAGGAAGCAGATCAGATCAGATTGGAGCCGGTCGGTGTCCAGTCAGAATGAAGCGAATTTATTGTGAGTTATTGTAATTTATTGTGATTACAAGTAATGTAAAGGAGTGATCAATAAATCCAAATATCCAATCCAACTAACTCCGTGGTTTTAGTCCGCAAGCGAACTATATCGACCGAGCGACCGCCGCTTGTCGGAGAGGTTAGTGCCAACCTTAGGGGATAGACGGTGTCGCGTGGTCAGCGCAACGAATCCCCATGGCCGCCAATCTCGGTTTTCTACATCGGAACATCCAATTCAAACCTTGTATTATTAGTGACGCCCACAAAACGCGTGACAATGATGTCACATGTGACATGCCCATCAGTTGGAGCCGGCAGGTATTGATACAAGCGCAGCCAAACTGTTCACTTCAGTGATTAACAGTGCTCGTGTACATTCAACAAGAGGTAAACAATATTTAACTTGTATTGCAGAATAGTGAATCTGGAGTGGAACGTGTGTCTACAGCCAAGTAAACACCAGTCCTTACGTGACAATGAACTCATCCGCGCAGCACAGCACGCCTGCTCAGTCCAGCCAGAGCCTGATTCAGACTTCACCACACCCGAAGGTATGATACAGATCCTGATGATGGTGAAAGACGTTGGTTTTAAAATAAACACTGTCATGGCTGATAGCCAGAGAAGATTTTAGCGCCCTTAATAAAATTATTAATTTGTATAATAGGGAGGGGCACGTGGTACCGTAGTTGGTTAAGGCACTATGATCGCGGGTTCGATTCCCGATGAGGTCACTGCAATTCTCAATTGACCTAATCCTTCAAGTCGTACTGTGGCCCTGGGGTCGATTCAGCCTCTAACAGAAATGAGTATCAGGAAACTTAGTGGGTGTAAAGGGCGGCCGGCCTGCGCGTAAGGCTGACAACCTCACCGCCATCTGTAAGCCGAGTGCCTAGAAAATGTGGGAACCTCGACGTCACACAACCCTATGGGCCTCCACGGCCTGTTATAGGTATAACGTTTACTTTTATAATCGGGAACTCAAGCCGCCGAGAGAGAAGAAGGGACAACTTTCTGAAAGGAAAAACAAGCATTTACAGTAACACCAACTGCCTCTGTAACAGAGCATGTGACTGTCCAGTGAAGGGTCTGAAGGTGCTAATGTAACTGAGAGCTACCGTGAACATAATAATGATACTTCGGCTTCATAAAACGCGGATAATTTCTCGGTTGTAGTCAGGAACACTTCTTTTGACTGCTCAAAGTCATCCCTTTACCGCTGATTCATAATTTTCACTTCCCTGAGTCTCTACATTCAGGGAGGCAGCAAGGGATAGGCATACAGATCAGTAGTAGGAGCTGATGCACTGACGTTGACTGGCCAAAGTAACTATCCCCCGATTACAGCTGAGCCAATGTCAGATTCTCAAGAAGGGCTCTGACCGAACGTCAGAGTCGAGGGGTTCCACTCCCGCTCCGTACTCCGGGGACCTCGGCTTTAAATACAAACTCGTGGCCAGGCAAGTAAATTCCTGTAATATGCCTCGTATTATATCTCGGCTTCATTTCGTATACTCGCACTTTCATCAGTCATCCTGTCATTGGTTCTGAGGTTTCGAAAGTGTCGTTAAATAAACCAAGAACAGAAAAAACGACTCTGTTGCATGCAGTTATTTACTTAGTGTACTATCAAGAAGCTCTGGGAAGAACCAATCGCCTACTTTCCTTTCACTACGTACAGCGTATTGGTTGAGGCACTACGCTACAAGCCGGAAGGTCGCGGGTTCAAGTACCGATGAGGACATTGGATTTTTTTCAATTGATCTAATCCTTCCAGCCGCACTATGGCCTTCGGGTCGACTCAGCCTCTAACAGAAATGAGTACCAGGAATATTCATGGAGTATTCTTGGGGGTAAAGGGCGGCCGGCGCGTAGGGCCGACAACCTTGCCGCCATCTTTGAGCCGATTGTCTAGAAAATGTGGGAACCTTAACATGTCACAATCCTATGGGCCTTCACGGCCTGTTACAGGGATACCTTTACTTTACTTACTTACTTTTACGTACTGAGAATCTGATAGCTCACGGACCGCATAGGAACACAGCGTCCAACAGTTCTATTGTAGCGTGTGTATTCGTTGCAGCGGTAATACATTTACCGAGACAGTCGTCTCTTCTGGTTCCAGTATTCAGACCTTCAGGCATTAGAGGGGAAGACGGAGACAGCAAGGTGATCCCATAAGAATCTTTTTTCTTCTTCTTCTTCTTATTATTATTATTATTATTATTATTATTTATTTTTTTAATAAGGAAATTAAGATAAAAGCAGTGTATTTGTGTTTGCAGTAAACTAATTTGAAGGCCAACAAGAGAAGGAATATCGCAACTAAGTAGGCTGCTGCAAACCACGGGAGACAGTAGTCTGGCTTTATGTGGCATGTGAGCCATGTGAACTCGTGAGGCAGAAACTTGCAACCCTGCTATGACCCAGAAACATGAGACAAAGCAGACAAACTTGTGTCACTTTCAGAGTTTTAGCAAATGATTCACTCCTTCTGGCACAGTATAAAGTAGGCGTACATCGATTTTTCTGATAGCTGATTTCATCTTATCATCATTTATTATGCATCCTTGACGCCCACATAGCCAGTGACAAACTGTGGGAGTGGAGACAAACACAAGAACATGAAGTACATTAAAATCCATGTCAGGTCGCTGCATAAACGAATGCTTTCCCCAGAACGACGCTCTCCACTTTCCCTTCTGCCGTTTCTTGTCACACAACTCGACGTTACGAACATAAATGAAACGAAGACATTATGATTAGATCTACTCTCTTCTGGCACTTGAAACCGTTAATATGGTAGATGCCTTGGATTTTTAAAGAATCGAAATTGAAGAAAAGAACGAAATGTACTAAATACTATTAATGGCCGCGCCATAGCTCAAGCGGTTAATCGGCCCTAGCGTCGACTCAGCCTCTTAACAGAAATGAGTATCAGGAATCTTCCGGGGGGGGGGGAGTAAAGAGCGACCGGCGCGTAAGACTGGCAACTTCACCGCTATCTGTGAGCCGATTATCTAGAGGGCGTGGGAGCCTCGGCGTCTCACAACGCTATATAGGCTTCCACGGTCGGTTACACGGATAGCTTTACATTTTTTTACGGGCTCCATAGCGTCGAAAGGCTAGATGATTAACGAATGATGAATTGGAAGGATGTTGAAGGCTGTGGACTATTTAAAGGTACTATTTAAGCATTCGACTGGACGTACTGAGTAAAACCACAAAAATCACTGTTAGTGTAGTCAGTGTCCCGGCTGAGACTCGAACCAGGCACTTTCCGAATGAAAATCAGAAGGGTTGCCGCTTCAGACTCTTTGGTTGATAAAGGGGTCGTACAATTTCCGCAGGATTTAGGAAACTTGTTACAGCAGAAAAAGATCACCTTCGAATTATGCTGTAGCATGAAGGAAGAGAGGTAGAAAGGTAAAACCATTCCTATAACAGGCCGTGAATGCCCATAGGGTTGTGATACGTCGAGGCTCCCACATCTTCTAGACAATCGGCTCACAGATGGTGGTGAGGTTAGCCCTAAGCGCCGGCCGCCCTTTACCCCCAGGAAGATTCCTGGTACTCAGTCCTGTTGGGAACTCAGTCGAGCCCAGGTCCATAGTGCGGCTGGAAGGATTAGGTCAATTGAAAAATCCACTGAACTCATCGGGAATTGAAACCGCTACCTTGCGGCTTATAACACAGTGCCCCCTACAAGGAAGAGAGGTAGAACAAGTAACGAAGGAATGGTAATGCCAGACAAGTGGCACGCCTCATTCAGGCCCTATAATGAATGTGCTCGAAGCTTACCAAATATTTGATTTGTTGGGAGAACAATTGCTACAGGCGATATGCCTGCTACCAGCAGCAGTAGAAATGATTCATACACAACCCCAATGTTTCTGAAGGCAATATATCGGCATGTCCACTGCCGTGTGATGTCCTGACAGGCCGTTATATTCTACATTTCCCGAGCTCAGAGGAGCGCAAAGCGGAGCCTGTATCATCAGCAGCAGCTGAAGAGGAAGAAAGAAACGAGCAATGACAGCATGGAGCGGGCTACATGACGACGCTGTCCGTACCTCGGACTATACAGCAGCGAATGACTGGATGACAGTGAAAAAGGAATTGGGAAGGATGTGGAAGGAATAAGTTTGCTTAATTTTTAGGCACGATGTACTATCCCGGAATTTGCCGATCACGCTGCACGCGCGATCTAAGGCATGAACTGTCTTCGCTCGCTCGAAAGCTGGATCATGGGTTCGAATCCCACTCAAGGCATGAATATCTGTGTGTGCGTTTATTCTTTGTGTTCTGTGTGTAGGCAGAGGCCTTACGATGGGCTGATCTCCCGTCCAAGGAGTTCTACCGTCTGTGTAAAAAAGATTACGCAACTGAAGAAGAGGCCAGGGCCCGACAAAGGGCTGTAGAGCTATTTATGAATGAATGAATGAATCCCGGAATTTTCCTGGAGGAACTGAAGAGAACCATGAACAAAATCAATCAGGATTTCAGTGTCCTGGCCTAGATTCGAACAGGCTATCTCCCGGATACAAGGCAAAGGCGTTATCGCATTTACGTATGGTAATAACAGTTTCCTATTGTTAAATAATAAGAAACAAATGAAAGGTCAGAATCCTAACGTCAATGGTACTTCTGCTACCTCAATATTTCTACTTTCGTCATGACAGTACTGCTAACAACGGATAATTGATTACATATTATGAAAATGTGTTCATTTTGTTGAAGTATGGGACGTATACTAACAGCCTGACTCAAACCGTCTCGCCTGAGTAATCCAAACAAGTAGCAATTCATTACAATAGCATGTAACCCATAGAACTGCCATGCTGGACGGAAATTCAACATTATTCGCATTCCAAACGGATATTAGCCAGTATTGTCTTGCGCTATATTACATTCTTCAGTTGTTCTCTCAGTATATCTTGCCAATGACAATAGTTTGAGATAATTTAAGGTCATACCTTCAAATGCAAAAAATACCCGTATCTCAGATTAATTATTTTCGGAACACAGACATCTCTGACGTCTTGACTTCTCATTTGATGCCAACAAACAAGAGAGCAGAGTTAAGTCGAAACAAGTACTCTTTGAAGTCGTAATCTTCTGAAGAAGAAATTCACAAATTACAGACACAAATACATTATTAGATTTTCAAAATGTTGTTAACAGCGTTGTTTTCCTCTACGGTGCTTCATTTGTGAGTATCCTCCCTGACAGCCTCTCTTTGCTGTGCACCGACAGAAGTCTGAGATGACATAAAGGACACGTTAACACTAAAAATCTCTTTGGTGGATACTGTTTGATTCTTCAAAACAAATATCTCCAATTTAATTTTAATCTGGGAGAAAGAGAAGATATGGGAAAAAAGTTTAAGGCAGTTCTATAGTTTGTACATGGCAAAATAGTTGTCGGTTATTTTTTCCTTTTTTTCTTCTCTACGGCTTTACAACCCTTTGGATCTTGGTTACATTTTCACTTTCTTAATCTTAAACACAGTCGGTATCACCCATTAAGACTGGGGAGCAGCTTGTCGCAAGGCCTATAGCTACACACAGAACAACAAAAGCACACAGGCATCCATTCCTCGAGTTGGATCTGAACCCACGACCCCAGTGTTCGAGCGGGCGAAAACGATTCATGCCTTGGGTCGTGCGGCCACTGTGATCGGCAGTAGTCGACTAAGGACAGGAATAATTTACATACGTAGAATTACTTGTGAGGAAACCAAAAATTGGAAATATAATTCCAGAGAAATGAGAGGTCCTGAAAGGCTATGAACTGGATGGCGAGAACTTAGAACAAGACTATACAATTATTAACTTTCGGACATTATCCAGCGTACGGTTTTTAATATAAAACATTCCTATGGATAATGCCCAAACAGCCAATAATTTTATTAATATACCGTCGTCACAAACTTCTGAACAGGATTATAGTTTAATTTTGAATGACTGAAATGGAAACGTGAAACTGTGAAATCTACTTAGCTATATGGTAGCACGCGGTAGCGTAGTTGGTTCAGGCACTATGCTACAAACTGGAAGGTGGCGGGTTCAAGTCCCTATGAGGTCACTGGATTTTTTCAGTTGACCTAATCCTTCCGGCCTCACTATGGCCCTGAGGTCGACTCAGCCTCTAACAGAAATGAGTACCAGGAATATTCTTGGGGGTAAAGGGCGGCCGGAGCGTAGGGCTGACAACCTTGACACCATCTTTGAGCCGATTGTTTAGAAAATGTGGGAACCTCAACATCTCACAACACTATGGGCCTTAACGGCCTGTTACCAGGATAGCTTTACTTTACTTTTACTTACTTACGCAGCTATATAAATTCTATACTGGCGTTGAATGACTGGCATTTTAGGCTTCTGCTGAGAGTCGCTGCTGGGGCGAAAAGGGGAATCGGAAATAGAAGGAAGTGGAGTGGGCCCCTTTACGTGAGAAGCTAATCACAAAATGTTCCGGTTACAATCGGCCGAGATTCGAACCCTGTAGTCCGTAAATACAACACTCGGACTTTACTACCATCAAGGTTAATCCGTCTTTACAGGTGGACTTTTGCAATTGACCTAATCCTTCCAACCGCACTATGGCCCTGGAGTCGACTCAGCCTCTAACAGAAATGAGTACCAGGAATCTTCCTGGGGGTAAAGTGCGGCCGGCGCGTAAGGCCGACCTCACTGTCATCTGTGAGCCAATCGTCTGTAGAATGTGGGAGCCTCGGCCTTTCACAACCCTATGGGCCTCCATGGCCTGTTACAGGGATAGCTCAATCGTACTTTACTCATAAATGGTTTTCGTCTTTTGTCGCTGGAGCCTGATTCAAGCCTTAGTATTCTCTATTGCAGAAAAAACAGACGATCGGCCTACTGCCTGCACAATGTATAGAATATGAACATAGATCAAATCCACGAACTGGAATCAAACCCGCGACTGGCGACCTAAAATCTTTCGTGAAGAAAGGAGTCAGCATTCGCCCGTGAACATAGGTTACGCACACCCATGCATACACAAATGAAGATATAATTGTTCGATTCCGAAGCTTTCTGGACATGTTGCTTCAAAGATAAATAAAACAGAATGATAAGCAAACTGTCATCACATCAGCTAATTATGTGTTTGCGTTCGAAGGCTGAACATAAAAAACACTAATTAGACTACACCTTGAGGCTGATAATTATATCCATCTCCACAAACTATTTAATCATCACTATCATCATCGTCGTCATCGTCGTAATCATCATCATCATCATCATCATACAATGGGGTGTTACCCCACCAGTTAGGGCCGCGCCATAGCTCAAGCGGTTAGTCGCTGGCTTCCCACCGCGCCGGCCCGTGTTCGATCCCGGGTCTGGTCAAGTGGGATTTGTGGCGGACAAAGTGGCGCTGGGGCAGGTTTTCTCCGAGTACTTCGGTTTCCCCTGCCAATGTTCATTCCACCAATTGCTCCACAATCACCCTCACCTATCAGTTGCAAGTACAGGTGTAATTCTTAAAATTTAAATTCCCTAAAATAAAACTGTAAAACTGTCAAAAGTTAACTTCTCCGTGTAAATCCTGGACTGCTCCGTTCCCATTTTATTGATGCATTTGTGATAAGGTAAAGAGGTAAAGTTATTCCTGAACTTAATTAAGCACCACAGCATGAAGATGTCTGGGGGAATGTAGGTATAGCGCCACAATTTTTAACCTCGGCACTAGACGGAGGTGGGTGGTCAGATTAACGCTCATGCCGCGTTAACCCCAAGGAAAGCGCCCCCGGTACCTATTAGGCAGAAGGCTTGGAAGGTCCCAGAGGAGGTCTGGACGCTGTGGAGAAGAGAATCTCTTATCCCTATGGGTAATAGATTTCCTTGGTCGTTCAGTCCGGAGCCTGTCGCTATACCGATTGAGCTACGGTACAGCCATTATCCATCTATCGCTCCTAAACGTACCAGTCACCGTATACTCTTGTTCATGTGTTAAAGTTAATATATACTGCGAGCCCAGCTCTGGATCAGAAGTAAAGAACCGAAGGAACACAGAAGAGGTGGTCAAGCCCATTGCACAACTCGGAAGCACAGGCCGAATGATGATTGGATGGGGAAAGCCGCAGTACCAGGAGAGAAACCTGCCCCAGTGCCATCACGGTGTCACCACAAATCCCACACTGACTACCCTGGGACTGGAACCGGATCTCCGTGTTGGAAAACCCGCCACTTTGAGGGTACGTCACACTTCGAGTACGCAAACTTATGAAAGGAAAGTTCTGTGTGTTGAATGAGATCTCAGGTATGGTGAATTTCGTTCCCACTGTATGCTGAGAACAGACTTTATTAACTTTCTAATCATGACGTAAGGACCTACGCCACTAACTGATGGTGACGCATCCCCAAAGCTCTTTCAAACACACATTAATATTTGTCCGCAAAAGGGTATTTAAAAATATTTATGTGACGGGCTGAATTCTAATCAATGCAGTTTCTGGCAACTGATTTTTCAGAACCACCGGTCACAGTGGCCTTGCGATCTAAGGCACGAACTATCTTCGCCCGTTCGAACACTGGGATTGTGGGTTCGAATCTTACTTCAGGCATTGATGTCTGTGTGCATTTATTCTGTATTTGTGTTGCCCTGTGTATACGTAGTGGCTTTGCGACGGGCTGATCTCTCGTCCAAGGAGCCCTACCGACTGTGTAAAAGATCAACAAACTGAAAAAAACTGCCAAGGTCCAACAAAGGGCTGTAGAGGCATAGACAGACAGTTTTTCCAGAACCACCCAAAATTAAATTCTTGATAAGCTATGGTGTCATGTAGCAGTCATGAGTTTATCCTACCCTCCCGGCGTTCGGTCCGGACACGATATGAACAAGTTGCAGTAGCAGCTACGCCTACATCTGGGCGACTTGGAGATTACTATCTTCCGGAATGTGACGCCATAGTGTCTGGTATATTGTTAATGTTTTGGACGGTGTGCTGCCTCCACCTTGAGGGTACACCGCGGCGGCCCGGGTTCAAGCCCGGCTTAGGACATGTAGGATTTATGGTGGACAAAGTGGCACTGGGGCAGGTTTTCTCCTAGTACTTCGGCTTCCCCTGCCAACTCGCATTCCACCTACTGCTCCGCAATAATAATAATCTATCATCTGGGGCTGGTACAATAGGCCAAACAGTGGACGCAGTACCAAGTGGATTCAGTCTCATTGTAGAAAAAAAACCTTGAGGGTACAAGAGTGCTGCTTCCATCTTCAGGGAAGAATAGTGAATCTTCTGCTCTGAAGATGTATGTAGCACGTTCGAATGTCAGCAACGACTTACCAAGCAACACAGTATAGTCCAGAAAAAAGCAATAATCTTCGTAGCATCTATTTAGTCACAAAGTAATTCTCACAGTGTTACGATTACTTCATCCACAAACATGAGCGCACCGCGGTATGAGAGAAGACAGACAAGCCACAAGTAGCAAACCCAGTCTGTTGCTACAGAAACACAGGAAATAAAAAGAAACGAGATTGGAACCATGACATTGTCCTGTTATTATGACATTAGAGAGTGAGAGATGGCCGGTATATTATTGCTGCTGATTGTTATGATGACGATGATGATGACGGTAGGCAATGACGACAACGGGAGGAGTTTCCTCGACGAAGAACTGGCCAGGTATATAACTGCTATGTAATAGGAGGAGAAGACCGAGTCAGCCCACAAGGAATGGTACAGACAGGTAGCTGTGGACACTATACGCGCTCCTGCGCCTGCGTGCAATTGAATGAGCTCATCGCGCGTGTTTTGTTTTAAAGTTTTAAACTAGATGTCAGTGAAAATAAGACAAAGCTATATCGCTGCAACTAGAAACAGAGTGTATTATTGTCACCGTTATCAAGTTTACGTCAAGATAAATCTGCAAGATACCATTCGCAGCAGTGATAACATTTACCGATCCTCCCCCCCACTCTCTCTGACCGCCTTCTGCAGAATGAAGAGTGTAGGTGAGTAGAAAATATAGTGGTTCATGGTAGTTGGCATGAATGAGGGGTACGGCCACGTGGTTAAACAACGTGCATGATGGTAGTAGTTTTTCAGGAGGACAGCAATAATTAATAATGGTGTTTACGTTGATTTATTGCGCGAGTGTTGCTAGCGGCCAGCATGAGTGAAGTTCTTGAAATGCTGCAGTGTTGTTCGAGATTCGTGTCAGGCGTGATGAGACTGGTGAGTGCTGTGTAATTCGAAGTATAAAGTGAGCGTTTAGGAAAGAGCTTTATTGTGAGCCGTGTACGCGATAGGAACTTGAACAAATATCTTTTTGCTTGAGTATTCAAGTGTGCGAATTGGTGAAGTTTGTTCACAATCTGGTTAATAAAATAACGCAAGTGACTTTCACATGTCTCCGATGTGAAGCTGTGTTTGAGACACATCTTCCTTTTTAACATAAATTAGTGAGACTTAATACAGTGTATTTATATAGAAACTGTGAGACTTGGTTAATTTGAACGTGGAAATTATTTTCTTTATGCTGGTATGGTTCAGAATCTGTGACTAACTATGAAGAAACAATTTGTATGTGCTCTTTGTAGGGACTGCACGAAATTGATACTTATGCGTAATGTGTCGTGTCTGCTCTACCATTCTCTTGTTTAATCCTCAGAAGCATCAATTAAAATTTGGTACACGTTACTTGCGTTGTGTACTGAAAGCGAGTTTCATTTCAGTCCGCGTTACTATAACAATCTGCAGGCCCACATGGAGCTAAAACCAACTTTATCTGATTTCTCCCAAAACGCTTATCAAACAAAACACTGGGGTATTATACACTGTACAGCCATTACGAATATCTATTATTGTTATTTTAAAATGTATCGATATAGAGTACATCGTATTTGACGAACTACAACAAAGAAAATCATTCCTAACCATGTGGTGTGTTAATGTACATACGTTGATTAGCTTTGCTGACAGCAGAATTTAGGTCTGTCAGAAACAGTTATTTTTTTACTTGTTGACCAAACGACTTTATCAGTATTAACAAAGTGCAGCATCGGATAAGACATGAATAACAAATTTGAATGGATTTGGAAAAAAAAATCATGATATAATTGAAGATACTAACACGGTCGGTGTCTCGACTCAGTGTAGAACCGAACGCCTCCCGAACAGAATCTCGGCTAACCTATTCCGTAGTGTCTGCAATAATTTGTATATGCAGTAAGTGAATATCAAAACCACTGACGGTCCGTACGTATCCAAAACAGTTGCGAAAGAGTAGCTAAATTAAATGAATCAATTAATCAAGCTCTACGAGGAGGAAAGCCTCCAAGAAATTTCTCTCTTTCTGAGAATTTTTAATAGATTTTCTATGTTTATGCACAGCAGGGAGCTTGTTGGAAGAATTAGATACGAAACTGAGGTACTCGTACGAAGTGGCAACTCCTTCTCAGAACGCTGAAGGAAAACATCGTAACCTGTCTCTCAAAGGCCTCGACCTTGACACTAAAGAGGAAGCTATGTGGAGAAATTAGCGCCAATGGAATTCAGTAGGTACGATTCCAGGCCAGCAAAGAATTTTTGTCCTGTAGCGCACCTGAACAGGAAGTCCAGTCGGCTCAAGTATATGACAAGTTTATCTCTTGGGATATAACGCCATGTAATGTGTTGAAAATCAACCAATGTTCCTCCAAAACGTCGGTTGATTTATCCCAGAACATATAACTCTTCCCAACCGCCGCTGTGAGAACCTCAAATCTTAAAAGTGTATATCGTTTGAAATCTCATTTTGGGCGCGATCCTTCTCCTAATTTTTCTTATTTCCTTTATGACGATACATCTGGGCTCTCTCACGATGTAGGCCTACAAAATATTCATTCTTTCATTAGTATCTAAGGGATCGAATAGGCTAGAAGATGTGATTGTTTATTTGTACTTTTTAGGGACAATGTCAGTAACTCAGAATATAGGCCTACATCATCGAATGATCGGCTGATGACGAATAATATTAGCTAGTATGTGGGAGAAATTTCTGGTGGTCTAATTCATGGTACTCTCCCGGTGTTTGTCTGGAGGAACTGAAAGGAAAACCACGTCAAACCTCAGTCAGAACAGTGGATGTCCCAGGTGAAATACGAACGGGGTACTTCCAGAATACAAGTCAGATACTTTGCCATTTGAGCCAAAGTGCTTGCTGGACTTAACTGTGAAACAAGAAGTAATTTGCAAGAGAACTGCGAAAATAGTAGTTAAATACAGTACTGCAGCTTTCACTTGTAAGGAACGTACGGAGACATATAAAATGTGGGGATTACGATGGTCATATTCCTAGACGATTTCTACCACACACTAATCAGAAAGTAACGTAACATAATATGGAGAGGGAGTTTTGCTGCTGTGTTGGCAATAGCTATATTGCAGTGCATGAATTTATATGGATATATCTTTCTATGATATTAATTGGGGCACGCAGTAGCGTAGTTGGTTGAGGCACTACGCTACAAGCCGGATGGTAGCGGGTTCGAGTACGGATGAGGTCATTTAATTTTTCCAGCTTACCCAATCCTTCCAACTGCACTATGGCCCTGGGGCCGAATGAGCTTCTAACATAAATGAGTACCAGGAATGTTCCTGGGATAAAGGGCGGCCGGCACGTAAGGCTGACAACCTCACCGCAATCTGTGAGCCGGCAGTCTAGAAAATGCGGGAGCCTTAACCTCTCAAACACGTATGGGCCTTCACGGTATGTTACAGGGACAGCAGCTTTATAATGTTAACATGGATGTTCATTCCTTCATTACGAGGTCCTAATTTTCTAACTAATTTTGTCAGGAGACATTCATCCAGGATATTTCAGACGAAAGGATTTGGATCTATAAATTTCACTCCATTATCCGTGACCTATTATACTCTACCAACATAAAGCGACCATATGATCTGGTAATACATCTATTTGTCAAGAACCGATATGTATCTGAAACAGGACAAATGGCGGTATAGGTTGTCTGTGTATAAAATGCAAAGCTTTTAAGAACGCATTTCGGAAAACCTCTCATCTACACCTAGTCTTCCTCTTAACTCTGAGACCTTCTGGACTGTGACATTAAGATTACAATCGAAATTTCACCATCATGAAAACCACAAATTTTAAGAGTAATAAGCATATACTTAAAAATGCTGTGGAGACGGACTAACTGGTCCTTACATTCACTCCGTACGAAACTTAATACAAAATCATTAAGGAAAAAGAGATTTCAGAGTTTAGATACGAAGCACTGTCCACTGTTAAACAATAAACAAAACAGAATGAGTCACCAAAATTTGAAGACAATATACTGTTAATTCTGTAACATTCAAATGGGTTATTTCCTTATTTTTTATTTTTCGTTGGTTACCGTTTAGAGCAGGGATGTGTAAACTCCGAAGAACGTTGGCCATATAGAAGACTTGTTTCAAAACCACGATGAGCAAACAACACATTTTACTGTGCTCCGTGATAAAACAAACAGACGTAAGAATAATTAATATCACACCTGCCAATGTTTGTTGTTTGATATTAGTAACCAAAAATATAAACTTCACTATTTGCATAGCTGATAAGAAGTTTACACTGTACTGTCCCAGAGACGAGTTTATATCGGTGGGGGGAGGGAGGATTTCAGGAGGGAGTATTTGTGAATGCGTTAAATATGTAGATGTGTCCAGGGTGCGGTCAGCAGTCTTCCTTGTATGAAGATGTCTTATGGAAAAAGGAAGAACTCCTTACAAATAAAAGATATTACATTCCGAGGAATTCCGTGATCAATCAAGGAAGATACGACCGGTTGGCCAGAAAGCTCGGATGACGAAAACCAGAAAGTAACTACATCTGGTAGAGTTCATCTTGTCTACTTAATTAAGACATTCGCTGTATTTTATGCAATCAGTCTGTTTATTACACAAGATCCTGCCACTGGTCCCTATCCTGAGCCAGATGAATTCGGCCCACAACTTCCCATCCTGTCATTCTAAGATCCACCTTTTAACATTATTATCTCATTTAAAACTAGGCCTTCTTAGTGATTTCTATCCTTCGAGTTTTCTTACCAAAAATTTTGGTATGTATTGTTCTTGGCTTCTCATGGGCACTACATTTCCCACCAGTTTCCTCCTTCCTAATTTATTTACCCTAATATTTGGTGAGAAGTATACATTATGAAGCTCCTCATTATGCAATTTTCGAACCTCAAATTACTTCCTTCCTTGTGTGTTCCAGTCCTTTTCTAGTCGCACTGTTCTCAGTTTTCCTCACCCTTTGTTCTTCCCCTAATGCAAGTGTGGCGAAGTTTCATTCATATGCAAAAAAAAAATAGACATAATTATGTTCTTTATTTTAATTTTACAGTTTTAGATGAGAGATGGAAAGACAAAATGATCTGAACTGAAACGTAGAAAGGGTTTCCCAATCTATTTCTCTAGGTTCCATTGTAATATTTCCCCACATACGTCTAGGTCTTCCTGGTGGTCTCTTTCCTTCTGGCTTTCTTCCCCAAAATTTGTATGAATCGCTTTTCTCCCCATGTGTGCTACACTCCCTGCTCCTCTCATCCTCCTTGACTTGATCATTCTAATTATATTTGGTGAAAAGTATAAGTTATTAAGCTTCTCATTATGGAAGGATTTATTAGCTACATTTTTATAAGTGTACTTCTAGTAACAAGACACGTACATGTATCAAATTAGTTTTTCTGCGTTTATTTCTCGTTTAATATAGCGTTTGTGTTTTTCTATAAGGTGTTTATATTCTCACCCTCATAGAGCGCAAAGGATTTTGGCGAATAGATCTGTTTGGGGAGGGGTCACTTTGAAGAGCAAAATAAAGACGTGACAATGATGTAGAAACGGATATGAGGGAAATTTATTTTAGTGACACGGACTGGACTCAACTAAGGACAGAATTTAAGATTTTTTTCTGTAATTCGGGATATTTTGGTTTAACTACAAGTCAGGTAATTAGTCGCTGCTGTTTATAATTATGTTCAACGCCAAATTTGTAAGAAAGTGTACCTCTACGAAATGGTTCTATGACTGTACTCCTAACAGAACTCCACAACAGCTGACAGACGCATAAAATCTAGATATTGATTAAAGAACTTTCACTACATGACTAACTTGAATATCAAACACCGGAAACATGATTATATGAAATGCAACATAAACAGAAATAGACAATAAATTCAAGATTAATAACAGGTCACAGATAAGTAGTGAACCTTATCGATATTTTACCAAATTGTCATCAACGTAAAGTAAATATAGGATATGTTCTTCAATCTTACGATATTCATAAAAAGTTCTGTAACACCCAAAGCATAAAATGAAGACAATTACTGGGTTTCTGGACTTTTTCCATCGCCCGGTATTCTAGAGAATAGAAAGCACGACGTTCCCATAACTAGATCTGTTTCCGGCCTCAGGTGAAGGAGGAGGAGAGAACTACGTCGTACTCAGCTGGGCCGCTCAGAAAGAGCTAATCTCAGTCACTAGATTAGCACT